AGATTAACTCCCGAAATAGGACGGGGAAACTATCTTTCTTTCTTTTTGGTTAGGTAAAGATCAATTCCCGAAATAGGACAGGGTGATTATCTTTATCACCAATGGTATTAACTCCCGAAACAGATTGGGTTTACCAACAAATTGATTGTAGATCAATTCCCGAAACAAGACGGGGCGACTATCTACATGACAAACACTTCCTTCAAGACATCTATTATTTCAGTATGAATCGACCAAAGATTTATTCTGATACTTCTTCCAATTCCTACCAACAGTCACTCTGGATGGCATATGTAAGCCCATCTCCGACAAATTCTCTATCACCTCTCCAAATGGCATCTTTAAGCTCATTCCCGACACAATCAACCACCACATCATCGAGTGAAAATTTCTGGGCACTCTAGTGTTCAATCATCTTCCACCTTCAAGTCACAAATGGAGAACTCACAAATCTAACTCTTCAGGTTTAAGAAGATTGAACAGGGGCAACTGTTGTACCCCAAAATTTGCCCTATCTTTTCTCAAGAATTCCCTCACAAGATCTCCATTGATTCAAGACTGCACAAGGTTGGATCAGCTCAAGATACCTCCTCAAACACTAATGACTCAAAACTAGAGTTTGATTTTGCACAAGTACAATTGGACTTTTAATGCCCCATATAGTTTCCATGGATCATATTGGACTCTCAAGCATCAGGTCAAAGATAGAACTTCTAAATCCTCGAAAGGAGGAAAAGGAAACTGTCGAAAGGGCGAAGCAGATAAAAAAGGTGTGCAGTTGTAGATAACCATGTCTAATTCAAAATCTGGTTCAGGATGTTCGAACCACATGACTGATTGAAAGGAGTGGTTGGCAGATTTTGACAAGTCGAAGAAGAGAAAACTTGCTTCGATCCCCAAGCTTCGACTGGGCAATGGCTTCCTTCGATCAACCTGCTTTGATCCACCTTTAAACCCTTCGATACACATAGTTTCGACACTATGAATTACAAGTCTATATTCATGCTTGCTTCGATCCACAAGCTTCGACTGGGCAATGGCTTCCTTCGAGCAACCTGCTTCGAGCAACCTGCTTCGATCCACCTCTAAACCCTTTGACACACATAGTTTCGACACTATGAATTACAAGTCTATCTTCATGCTTGCTTTGATCTACAAGCTTCGATTGGGCAATGGATTCCTTCGAGCAACCTGCTTCGATCCACCTCTAAACCCTTCAATACACATAGTTTCGACACTATGAATTACAAGTCTATCTTCATGCTTGCTTCGACCCACGAAGTGGTACATTCAGATGAATGTGGTCCATTTGAAGAACATACAATTGGTGGAAACAAATATTGTTTTGTCTATTTATGAGTTTGGTCGAAAGTGGTGGATCTATGTGATCAAAATGAAAGGACGGAGTATTCGACATCTTCAAGATGCTTATCAAAAACCAGAGTAAGAAAAAGATCAAAGTTCTACAAAGATTCAAGATCTTTGTAGAAGGAATCAAGTCGAAGACAGAATTTTGAAGAACATTGCAAATCCATATGCCATGCTACATGATCTTTCTTTACAGGACTCAATGTTTGTGTTTCACTCTATAATTAATTGTTTACACAATGAATTAAGCTCTTACCCAAGTATTTAAAGTATTGTCCAAGCCAATTTTCCCTTGATGGCACAAAGTTACCATTGCCATTTTAGAAAAAGCAAGCTTTATGTAAAATGTCAATGCATTGAGCCTTGTGACCTTTATCTCTGATTGCAAGCAACATCAAAATCATGAATCAAGTCTCATGCACTCAACAAACATCAGGCCATGCTTGTACTTGAACTTTGGAACCATGAAAATCTATTCAACTTGATTTTTCATTTTTAACTAAACCATAACATGTTATCTCAAGATTCTGGTTACTACAAGATGTCAAACCTCTTCCCTATAAATAGAGACATTATTTTCAACATAAAAAAAAGGAGGACCAACCTTAGAACACTCCCAAAACTCTCAAAAACTCAGAACCTGCACACAAGCACAAAACTTGACACATTCTAACTTCACACACAAAATCTCAAATCCCTTTGTGCGTTTTTTGGCCTTTCGATTCACTAAGCTTCCATACACCACATAGGAACTATCCCAACCCTTAAACCACTTTTGTAACTCCTAATTCCTCATCCACCATTTTCAAAAATCCACCATTGCAGCTTGACTTGTCCATAACAGTTGGGTAAGCTACAAGACATTCTAGCAATTGGAGTAGCTTCAGGGAGGTCTAGGCAAGCTTAATCCATCATAAGACCATTTCTGGAATTCGTGTAGAAGTCCTTCGAATTTCACTCCAAGAGGTAAGTTTTTCAAACTTGGAACTCTTCATTCAAGCATCATTTGTATATACATTGTGAAAAAAAGATGTAGATATCATGTCTAGGAAGCTGACCATGTCCATAATTTTGTTTATATTTGCTTGTACGTTGAGAATTTTTTCTCTGATCAGTTAGGTTTTAGTTTCAGTACTGAACAAAATTCATGCTAACCTTCGACCTATAACTTTTGAAAATTATGTGGTTAGATTCGTATTCAAATTTTAGGCAGGTTTAATATTTACATCTTTCGATTTGGCTGAGAAATGAAGCTTTTAGAAGCTTGACAATGAAGTTATCATGGCCTGCATGCGAAGGAAGAAGATGAAGCCATGTTCAAATTTTCAGAAATGAGTTTATTTTATATTTAGTGCAAGTTGTATAACTAACAGATGAAACGGACCACCCCAGTGATACAAATAGCGCGCACTAAAGCCTTGCCATGTAGAAGGTTCTGGGTTCGAGTCCCAACGAGACCTTTTGTCATTTTTTCCAAATTTTCTCACCTTTTTTTTGCTTGTAGGAACCACGCTCGGGCCTCCATTGAATGGGCCTTTACATTTCCATTTTCTGAATTCCCCCGACGTTAATGTTATATCTTTATCTCATTTTCTTTACTTTATCATTTTTATTATTATAATTATTTTTATTAATCAAAAATACCAAAAAATATATTTAAATTATTTAGTTTATTTTTATTTAACTTCTTGCAATGAAAAAGACCAAAAATATTTTCCTATTTATTTTCTTTTCTTTAACTTAATCTTAATTTTTCTTTAGTTTAATTAAATTTCCTTTTAGTTAGATAGGCCAAAATCTTTCTTTAACAAAATCAAAATAAATTTATTTTCTTTTCATTCATGTCTTGTACATTATATTCCTTTCAATTCTTATACATTATTCAAGTTTCAATATGGTTGTAATAGATAATTAGGTTTATTTTCTTGCAATTTCCATTTGTAAATTTGTACACCCCATTCCGAAAATGATGTAATAGCGTAAGATATTTATTTTCCGCAATTTATCGCTTTCATATAAATGCTATTAACTTAGGGTTTGTATGGAAAGATAAAATCAATGCTTAGAAAACCCTAATCCAAGACAAAATCAAGCATGAAATACAAACACCTTGCACACTTACACCTCTAGGGTTAACTCCACTTGTTGTCTTGAGAAAATGGTCATGATATGCATGTGAGACATCTTAGCAAAAACAAAAAAATACAAGATCATAGTCCTTCGATAACGCTACGAATGTTGCCTTATAAATGATTTTAGTCCCTCAAGAGAAATACTAAGATATCTCACAACATTGATATTCATGACTATACGATGACCCACGTCCGTCCCTTTACATCCAAAGATAAGGCTTCTTACCAATTAATGGTAAGATAGCAATACCAAAGGAAGGAAGAAATGAACAAAAGACTTTTGAGTAGGTAGAACGTTTTTAATTGCTTGCTCACAATCCATCTTCAAAATAAATATCTTTTCAAACACACCAAACACTTTCAAAACATGAAATATTTTCAAAAGTCCAACACTTTGTATGCACTTATAGAGACGAGAATCATTACAAAGTTTGCCTAAACGAAGACGCTTTTCAAAAATACTTTCAAAATCCACCACAAACACATTTCAAGCAAAGCAATTTCAAAAGTGATCTAACAAGCAACTAAGAGCCCATAGATAACTATGGATGAAAAGGGTGCTAACACCTTCCCTTTTCATAACCTACCATTCGAACTCAAGAAAATATCTCAAAGGTCTTTCCTGTTCTTTTCACTCTTTTCTTATTGGATAAAAGAAAAATCGGTGGCGACTCTTGCTATCTGCAACAATTGCGATAAAACGCAAAACAACCAAGTCAGTTCTCCCACCGTATTACACTATGTAACGATGGATTTAATGCACTGACAAAAATTACAACCTTTAATGCACTGGGTTGCTAGTCGGCTACGAGCAGATGGACTCCAGTTACATGTCATATCCGAGATGACAACGTGGATGAGCTCTTATCCGATATAATGACAACCCTTTTCGACCCGAACATTACTCGTTCTGTACCTTTTACATTTCCTCTCGAGTATCCCTTATTTTTATGGACCGGACACTCACTATATTCTCTTTTCAAACGACTTCATAACTCAGTCGGAACTAATATTTCTGAGATATACAAATATAATATTATATTTGTGATTCAAAATTCTAACAAATTATTTATTTATATATTTATTATTAATTAAGAAATAAAAAAAGAGTGAGAATGACGAGAGTAAAGTAAGAATGTACCACCTTGATGGTTGAGGTAGAAAGTTAAATATTGAAAGAATGCTAGCCTTAGTACACCTTTCTAACCCTCACTCCTCAACAGAACCACAAAGGTGTATGTACATGTTTCAATGTTAGTCATGTTCAAAAACACAAGGTCAAGGTCAAATGTCATCACACTCTCAGTCACCACCATGTGATACTCGTTTGTAAACTAGCACCCCAATGACCAAACTACCCTCACCCACAACACTTGCATGTAGTCAATCCATGTCCATTCTCGTCCACACATCTCTCTCTCCTCCTCCTGTCTCCCATTCCCATTAACTCCACCAAGTCAGGTTCACCATCCACACTCACAAACTTGAAACAAAACTCAAATGGACGGAACCAACAGAGGAGAAGCGGAACGGTGGCTCTACACAGCCAACAAGCTCCTCAGCGCGCGTGACCTACACGGCGCACGCTCATTCGCCATCAGAGCACGTGAATCCGACCCCAGATTCGAAGCCACCGAGCTTCTCTTAGCGGTTATCGACACTCTCTTAGCCGGTGAAGTTCAGATCAAAGAACATCTCGATTACTACGCCATTCTTCAAACTCTTCGTTACACTCAGAACATTGAGTACATCGCCGTTCAGTTCCGCCGTCTCGCCGTTCTCCTCGACCCTCACCGGAATCCGTTTGCTTTTGCAGCTCATGCTTTTTCTCTTGTTCATGATGCTTGGTCCATTTTCTCCAGCCCGCATAAGAAAGCTTTGTATGATGAACAGCTTCATTTTCTTACTCAACCACCGCCACCACAACCACAACCTATTCAACCACCGCCACCGCCACCACAACCACAACCTATTCAACCTTCTCCTCCTTCAGTTCAGGTCAATCACAATCATGACCTCCAACATAGGAACAACCCTAACGTGATTGCCGAGGAACAAAACAACAACGGGCCGAGGCGTAGTCTGAGTAATATCGACCGGCCGACTAGGCCATGTCAGAGCAATGTCGACAAGCCGACTGAGCCTAAGCCCGTTGACTCAGAAGTTGGAAGCTTCTGGACGGCGTGTCCTTACTGTTATGCAATGTTTGAGTATCCTAATGTTTATCAGGAGTGTACACTCCGGTGTCAGAATTGTAGGAAAGGGTTTCATGCGGTGGTGGTACGCTCTCCGCCAGAGTTGGCTGAAGACGGTAGTTTGTTTTGTAGCTTTGGGTATATCCCTTTAGGGTTTAGTGGGGATTTTAAGGATATTAGTGGGTCATCTTCGGAATGGAACCCTGTTTCGACTTTGTTTCCTTGTACTATGAAAGGTGCTTCTTCCAAGAGGGGTGCTCCGAGAGGGCCTGTTGTTTATCATGATCATGATACATGTGTGGCTTTCGCAGAGCTTTCTGAAGAAACTGAAGATGATACCGATGATGATGATTGGTGGAGAGGGGATGATAGCAAAGGGAGGAAGAAGGTGGTTATGGCGAGGAGGAGGAGGAGGAGGAGGAGGAAAAGAAGAAGGGCTGTTGGAGGTAATGGTGCTGAAACGGGGCCTGTTGATACTGGGAGGCCCAAGAGGGGGGTTCAGAAAGGTAATGCTGGTGGTGGTGGCGACAATGTGGATGATGGTGAGGCTGTTGATCCTGCTTCTGCGCCCGCAAAGCTGTCCAACGTTGAAGCTAGTAAGAAAGCTGCCTTGGGTGGTTCGAGGAGAAGGGGTGCTGCCAATTTAGGTAAATTGGACCTGAATGTGGAGTTTAGCAATGAGGTGGAAGAAGCTGCTGCTGCAGGAGTGAAAGAACGGAATGTGAATGGGACTGGAAATCCGGAGGACAATATTGAAGGGATTGGTTTTTTTGAAGGGCTTGATGAGTTCCTTAGTAGCTTACCAATTCTAAATGTTGTTGCAGATGATAAGGTTAAGGGTCATTAGTCTTTAAGGTGCCTGATATGGTTGCAGATGATAATATTATTGTTGTTGTACAATGTATTTTGTTACTTGTTGCACAAATTTATTCTGAACTATTCCTTTTGTGAATTCATATCTTTATTAGTCTTATAACAACCTTGTCTCTTTGTTTTTTGAACTTGCTCATTCAATTTCAAGTTTTGATCAAGTCTCTCTCTCTCACGCAGGCGCCAATAAACTCGAGTGTTACAGAATGAAGGTCATTCAATTTTTACTAACTATGTGCAGGGTTGCAATAACTTTACTTGTTAATGATTCTCCAAATGCATTTGTGAGTTTTGTTTTGTGTTGTTCATGTTTTGTCCTGTTGATAGATCACAAGGCTTGATTTCTTTTTCAAGCATCGCTTCTTCTATTGTGTTTTTCTTTGGTGTTTCTGCGGTTTTGCTATTTTGTTTTGTAAGGTAAAGGTTTTCTGAAGAATAAGTTCTATCTTGATAGTTGTTTCCCTTTGTTCAATTGTTCAAATGCTGGCAGCTGAAAAATTTGAAAAAAGCTACTGAAAATCTCTTGGGGAGCTTTATCTTGAAGTATTAGTTTGAGCTTCCATTCTGTATAGCATTGTTTTGCTTATGTCTTCTTCTCATTCGTTTAATCCTGTTTGTTGTTGGTCTTACTGCTTCCATTCCCAAGCTTGGAACTAGTGATTGTTTTAATCGGCTTTTGTTAGGTTCTTTTCCAGGCTTAAAGATGGAACTAGTGATACCTGTTATGTCCTTGGCACAATTAACTGCTCATGTAGTTTAAGGATTCTCATACTTATTGGAGAGTGTAGGAAATTCCGCCTTCATTGTGGCCCACCCCTAATCGCCTAATTGCGATATTGACATTTGTCTTGCCTTCATTGCAGCCTCTAGCGCTACATTGTGTTGGGTTTGAAGGGGTAGATTTAGCGGTCTTTGAACAAGTCACGACAATTCTGTGATAGGCTACTGTAGCATAGCGGAATTTGATTAAACTTCTATTTTCCAGTCCCATTCAAGTTCTATTCTTTCTCTCCCACAGCAGCAGATTCTTCCACCTCATTGTCAAACTCCGCATTCAAATTCAAATTCAATTTGCCCAAATTTGCAGTACCCTTCCTCCTTGTATGACCCAGCACAGCTTTATTACTAGCTTCACAATTCGACAGCTTTGCCGGCGCAAAAGCAGCATCAACAGTCTCAGCATCACCCATACTGTGATTGCCACCACCATCACCACTACCATTGTCAACATTACCATTATGAACCCCCCTCTTAGGCCAACCAGTCTCAACCAGCCTCATTTCAACATCACCACCACCACCAAAAGTCCTCCTCCTCCTACCTTCCTTCCTCCCTTTGGCATCACCCTTTTCTACCAATCATCATCATCATCATCGATACGACTAAGGTTTCTATAATGAATATAGAAGCTAGTCATGGACAAGGATTATAACAGATGTCATATCAAAGCTCGAAAGAATGATCTAATGTTATTATTTTGTGTAATAAGAATGGTATAATGTTATTATTTGTTGACTTTTCTGATGTAGTTATCTTCTGCGAGCACATTAGATACAGAAGATACCAGGTTTAAAAAGTTTATGATGATTTCCACTACTACATGACCATTGGTCACAGAAGTTAATTGTACTAATTAAGAAAATTGAAGACTTTGTCAATGTTTTGGTATCGTGATAAACACTAATTAAGTTAGCAAGTGAAATATTTATTGGAATCCTCTCATATCTTCCAGCACTTTGCACCATATATCTAAACATTGCCTAAGGTTAATTTAAACACGCTATGTACTATAAATCTCATTTTTATTTAATTGCATGAGTTCTTTTCTAAATAATGTATTTTTAGTCTAATTAATCAGTTCTTTTGTTAAACAGATTAATTAGTTGTTATCAGTATATATACGTGTTATACTATTTTATGTATGAGGGTAACTATAATTCTCCCATTACTCAATACTTTATTCATCTTAAAATAATTGTCATATTTGGTCATTTCATACGAATTAAGAAAATATTATAAATGAAAGACAAAATAATATATTTACCACACCATTCTTATTTATTATTGGTATATTCAAATTATCATAAATGCAAAGTGAGAATAATAAATTTAGAGTATTAGTTAGATGGTAGAATTGAAAGATGAAAATTAAAATTGTATTGAAAACTAAAAACGACAATTATTTTGGGATAAATAACTTTATCAAATGCGATAATTATTTTGGGACAGATGGAGTATACTTTATCACCAGACTCCTTGTAAGGTCCAGAAGACAGGTTCAATGAGGAAACAATGAGGTATGGAACGCATAGCAGATAGACCCTCTCATTCCGTAATGCAGGCAATCATTCACATGAAAAACATACTAAATTGTCCAAATCAATCCAACGATTGATCGCATCTCACAGTGTTTCACACGTGTGCAGTCACTAATCATTTCTCCTATTTAAAGAGGAAAGCGTGTCACTTCATATTGATTCAAATCCTTTCTAATTAAAACACCATTCTTAATCTCATGTTAACTTGAACGTTGGAGTGATAATCTTGCAGGTCATCCTCTCTTCCACCATATCAGAAGCTCTAAACCATTGCAACCAACTTTGAACTTATACCTTCCGACCAAATATAGTTCCAGTACAAAAACATTGACATCATTTGTGGAAATCGACTTCTAATTTTTACGATTTTCTACGATCAAACATCTTTTGATTCAATCGAATTACCTTCGTTAGAAATCCAAATCTCATTCGAGCGAAACACAAATCTCCATTTCCCTATCACTTTCTTTATATTCAAACTCTCATCCTTCAAATGCTCTACCAAATATGTCGATGATGGAGAATTCCAAAGCTAATTGCTTTGTCGTTTAATGACAAGTCGCTTGTTGCTCTTTTAGGTGTCACATGCAAGTATACATGTATGTTTGATTGCGTCAAGTGATAAAGATAAGAGTGTCGAATCTACAGGGAGTGATATGGTTACTTAGATTGATTTTGTTAAATACTATTCTTTAAGATTAAGCATGAGTAAAAAGATTAATAATATTTGGTAGTCACAAGTTCAATTTTCACTTAAAATAGATCTAAAATAGTGTAAAAGGAATAGTAAATATATCAAGAGTGAATGAGTTAAGCCATGATCCATTAATATTGGAAAAGTGATTATATGTTAATGATGAGTTCTGTCGTGCCAGACAAGCTCAGAGTGATCTTGAGGTGTATCTCTATAACTTCAAAACATGCATAATATGGCAAAGGAACAAATATCTAAGTTTCATTTATAACCTTAACATACGTCTATTAGCATCTGAATTCCTTAATGATTGTAGTTCATTATCTCTAAGTGAATTAGATGAGTGAATATCTCTATCCTACTCGTTCAACCATTTTTACTTCCGAGGTCCACTTGTTATTGGATCTCTCACAACAACAAGTTTTCACCTATTCCTAAGTTGACCAATAAAAGAAACAAGTTTATAAGCAAGTTATCACATAGTAAAGCAAAGCATTTAGACAACACATCATTTAACATAAAAATAACTTAATATTAACTTCACATTGCTCAACTACGAAAAGTTTAGCTCATATTGTGCTGAATACAAACTACAAACATGGTTCTCAGAAGAAACATCTCTAAATAAATAATGAAAAAGAGATATGAACCTAAGAATAACTTGGAGACTTCTTAAGATGGATAATCTTCAAGAGATGACTCCAGGTACGTCAGAACTCAATAGCTGGTACATGACTAGGTGAGAATAAGAAAACTCTTTTACTCTCAAATTTCCTCACACTTAGTGTCTTATGTATTTTCTCTTGGAATTTCTCAACTCTTTTCTCAATCTCATCAAGGTCCTATTTATAGACTTGAGTTAGAGTTTATTGTGATGCATTGGACCATGGACCTAATATGAGGAAATCACATCAAGTCCAAGTAATAATCAGCGCCAACCATCACTTTAATTCTCATGCTTAGCTAACAAGGAATCAGGTACAAGAGAATATTGGTGGAGGACAAGGTGTATTGTGGCAGACTGACACAATTGAGGTGTAGGTGGCGCTGTGTAGACTGTGCAGAGTACTATTGTACTACTTTTTGTATTCCAGTGCCTCTCATCCTTATCCTTTGAATTCAAATGAAATTTATTCAATACACAATAAAGATTTCCTATAATGCTTCCATCCTTACACGTTTGTCCTAAAAATCATATGAGTTCCTTATTATTTTCCCTTGGCAAAGTTCAACTTCTTTCTTCAGTTTGCGCTCCCAGTTACAGACCGCTGCAGTTTGTGCCTCGGCTCATCATAACTAACCTTAATTTAAGCATAATCTCTTCACCTGATGGAATATAACTTGTAATGAGTCCAACCTGTTACTAATGGTGAAGACAACTATTGTTCCTCCAGTTTCAGGAACATGAAGTTTATTTAAAAACTCTTACATCTACAGTTTCAGGAACATGAATTGTTCCTCCAGTTTAGGGCACATGAACTTATTGAGAAGTGCTCTTTGGCTTACTTCTATTACAGACTTTGGTATATTTATTAACATATGCAGTGTGTCTAGAGTACTCAAGTCTTAAAACAACAGTGTTATCCACCCTAACTAAACGACAACGAGGAAAGTTTAAAGATGTGGTGGTTCGCGGCGGCGCTACCGCCCGAACTTATAGGTTTCAATTTTTTTATATATATTTCGAATCGTATTCTTCTCATAATCTCTAATCTGTAATTAGTTTTTGAAAAAGGTTAATCATTGCAAGATCTAGAAAAGAGTTTTCAAAAATTTCAAAGTTTTTAACAACAAAAATCAACACATAAGCTAGAAATAGGGAGGGATTCGGGTTCTATGGAATGTTATCAACCTTTTGCAATAAAGGAATAGAGAAATGGAGAGCTTTGGGGAGGAAAAGGGCGGATTCCGATGGACTATAGGTGGTTTCCGGTAGGTTCAAAGAAGGTGAGTTGAATATTTTTGTTTTGTTATTTGCTCTGAATTTCTGAATTTGTCAGTGAATGAATGAATAAAAAAAAACCTGTCAGTTGTGAATGAATGTCTTTATACTGCTTAGAACTAAGGTTTGTGTACAAATAAAAGGCTGAGATTGGAATTGTGTTTAGGTTCAAATTTGGGCTAATAAAATGTTTTGATTTTTCTTGCTATAACCCAATCCGAAAATGCTCTTGTTGGGTTCCAATTTCAAACTTTATTTGCTATGTTTTGTCCAATTTTTTCACATTTTTTGTTGGAACTTTTTGTTGTGTTTATGCTAAATGGGCCTTATACATTTGATTCAATTCTTGCTAACTTGTGTGAAGTTTTAGTCTTGTTGGAATGAATAAAAAATGAAACTGTTGGACTTTGTTATGTTTGCTTGTTGAGAGATTTTTGAATGAACCTTTGAATCTTGGCCTATTTTGAATTGATATGCTAATACACCTTTCCATTTTTCTTCTTTTCATGTAATGAGAATTGTTGTAGGAATTTTAAAGACGATGATGATACATTTTGAAGAAAAAACCATGGCTATGAGTTTAGGTTTGTTGAAGAAGAATTGAGTCCAAGCCTAAGCAATGGAGAGGATATTAATTCAAGAATGTTGTAAGAGACATGAAATGTTAGTAATAGTTGACATAACATAGGCTCTTAGAAATTGAATTCTCTTGAATTGTTCTTGGTATCATGAAAGAAATCTCTTGAAGTTTGTATAGAAACTTGAATGAATTATGTATGAAACTTGAATGAACTTATGTATAACTTTTAATCTTGAATAAGAACGAATATTAGAAACATGTATGAAGAATTTGGATTCTTGAGAATGAATTTGAAATTAGACACTTGAAAACTTGGTAATGTTGCTTGAAATTGATGACTTGAAATTCTCTTGCAACTTGATGGAGTTTCTCGAAGCTTCTTGATAACAAGGCTTGTAAATTTCTTCTTAAACTTGCTTCTTGTAACTTTTGAATACTCTTTTGTCACAAGTTTGAAATTTGGACCAAAAAGAACTTAAATCCTTATCTTGTAACACGATGATCTTGAAGAAAGAGTGTAAATGTAACATCTTTGAATGATTAGCAACCTTTGGTAATAAGAGATGAATCGTAGGATTTAAAATCTCTTTGAATGTTCCTTAATGAACCTTGAGAAGTTTGATTCCAATAAGATATTGAAGCTTTTGAATTTCTAATAATCATGGCATGACCAAAAGAAATTCAATAAAAAAGAAAACAACTTCAATTCAAATTATCAATGCTAAAAACAAGCATCAATCCACGAT